GGTTCTGCTTCTTTCTTTGTGGACATTTCAAGATAAGTAGGAGGGGCCTTAATCATCCTTTCCATGCACCGCTGTACTCTTCTTTGTAACGCTTTATTGTTTGCCTCCTCTTCAGTGAACTGAGCAAATATCATTGATCTCTTCACAGAACACTGTAGACCCCTGGACTTTGAACCATGCAAGTTCTCAGCAGCAAGGGTTGTTCTTTCACAAGCCGCGACCGCGCGTCCTGTTCCTACTGATCCAACTGCAATTGTGTCCTTTAGTACTGCTGGCGTCGACCTGCTTGATATTGCTGCTTTTTCCACTGCTTTTTCCCCTCCTTCTTTGGTGCAAATCGCTGATTCAGCACGCGTTTCCACACATCCCTTKGTAATAGACCGGATCRATAGTGCGACTGGGAGTACAGCGCTAGCTCTGGGGGGCCCTGGCATGCTTGTTTTCATCTTCTTGTTGCTCTTATTGCTCATTATTGCTCATTACAGAGCCGAAATAGACCCAAAAATACAGCAAAAACTGCTTTTTCTTTCAAAATACTCGGTCGATTGCAACGATACTTCCGGATCAACTCTCCTTTGATGTATTAAGGACGTCCGACACACTGGTTGTTTCGGTAAGGGGGGGGAAGACAGTTTCTTTTTTGTTACACTGGGGAGTTCGTCGTTGCTGTTTTTTGCTGTTTTTGCGTCTGTACGTAGGACTCCTGATGCTTCTAAACCACTCGTTCGATCGATCCGATACTTCACAGTCCTCTTCCGGTTAGTGTAAGGATTACAACGCTTGTCTTGTGAGCGCGATTGGTTGGGTATTCATGAAGTTCTGGAGGAGTGACAGCTTGCCTTGTTGAGGTTGATTTTATGAGAATATTTTTTATTTTCGGTGAGGAGAGAAATCAACAAGCCCGAAAACGTTCTCTGACAGGAAACATATACAATATGCACATGTAACGAAAGAGGAGGGAAAACTCTTTCCCACTGATGGATTCTCTAATTCTGATTKGTGCTTTGGCTGGAGTTAAGAAGCAAGCAAAGTTAGCGAAAAACTGGCGCGTTTTATGTACTCATAACCTGTTAGAAATCAATAGTCGTAATTCAGACCCAAACTCGTACCATGCGATACAGGATTCATTGTTTATTCAAGGTAGAAGTAGTATCGTACATACCGTGGTAACGTACGATGTCGTAATCACAAAAACCAAGTTGAAGCTGTCATACCGTACAGGTACCAAGTACTCGTACCCAACGTCAGGGGTCCCCTCCACAAGGTATGGTACGTACATACCGTAGATACAGTATTATTTTGGTTGACGCAAACGTACGAACAGGTACGTACTACGAGTACGTACGTGCCTGCAGATGGTTTCTGTTTCGGCCAATCTAAATCCGAGTCGCCACTCCGTTACAAATGTGAGGACAAAAATTCAGAATCGATTCAGATCAAAACCGCCAATCCGACGGCAAGGAGCATATCGCATGGCACGGCACCATAGTATCACGAGTGTGCTGGTCAATCGAGAT